ATTGATGTGATGTCATTACGTTTTTGACTGCCAGCTATTGCACATGTGCTGAGTAGCCAGGCTCGTTTATGTGATTGCTGTTATGCTGTTGATGCTGGTGTCGGCTGGGACACCTCTTGAGTAAGTGCAATGAGTACCTAATAAAGGAATTGGTTTTTATAATATTGCACCATGAAGTCTTTCTGTTTCTCTCGAGTGCTTGGCATTTCCCCCCATGGATACGTTTGAAGGTGGTCCTTTTTCTATTGGAGAAGTGGATTTTCGATTAACTACAAAGTTTTTCGTTCTGTTCATTCGATCAATGAGGATCGGTGTGTTGGAGAGCTTCCGTTTCTGAAGATATTTTTATGGATGATCTGCCATTATATTATCAAGGTTTTTTGGTGAAATTTTTTTATATTGAGACACTTTTTTTATATTGAGACACTCCTTTTGCACAAAAAGTTTTTTGCACCTAAAAAGTTTTTTATATTTTTCTGTGGTATTGGTATATATATATATTTTTCTGGACTTATGATTTGATGATTTCTTTACATATACTTATATATATATTTACTAGCGCAAATTATTTATTAAATTGGTACACTTTATATATGGTGGTTTTTTGCAGCTGGTACACTATTAGTAAGTTATACAATTTTGACCATAGGCGCTATTATTAATTTTTCTTATTCTTAGCTTGATAAGTATGTCACCTACCAGCGTCTGCGGAGGAAGCTCGTTATCGGCTTGTCTCGAATAATGGAGATCCAGAAGCGATCTCTGAGGTTAAACTCTTGCTCAGGCAGTGTCAATATGACAGGCATGCCTCTTTGGTTCTGGAAAGGGATTATGGGAAATATCACTCGCCCGACCCTTACCAGAACTGCAAACAAGGTAGAGCAGTGAAGTCAGTTGTATTCCTGGCTGACAGTACGGGTTCCCTGACAAACAAAGTCCAAGTCAGGGATCCTGGAAACCTCCAGGTCATATTATGCTGACCTCCTGGGTAGGAGGGACCTCGATCGGGCGAGCATGTCGGGTTTTCTGGACTCTACTCCAGGACTGGGAAATGGCAGTTCTCTTGTGAGTTTGACAGAGGACATCACGGCAGATGAGGTGGTGAAAAGCTATTGATCAGCTTGCCATGAAGAAGTCGCCTGGGCCCAGACGGATTGACAGCCGAGTTTTATAAGCACTTCAAGGTGACTCTGGCCACATATTTGGTGGAGGTGTTTAATGGCTGTCTGAGAGAGGGTCCGCCCTCCCCCTCCATGTCTGAGAGAGGGTCCGCCCTCCCCCTCCATGTCTGAGAGAGGGTCCGCCTCCCCCTCCATGTCTGAGAGAGAGGGTCCGCCCTCCCCTCCATGTCTGAGAGAGGGTCCGCCCTCCCCCTCATGTCTGAGAGAGGGTCCGCCCTCCCCTCCCCCTCCATGTCTGAGAGAGGGTTCGCTCTCTCCCTCCATGCGACAATCTGCAGTGATTCTTCTGTCAAAGGGTAAGGATTCCTCGAGAATTGAGAATTGGCGGCCCATTAGCCTTCTCAATGTTGATAGGAAGATATTGGCAAAGATCATATTTATTTATCATAGATTTATATAGAGGGGCTGAAAGCTTCATGCTTGTGAATGGTTGGATTGGATGGCCCTTTGAGGTTGGCTCAGGTGTGCGTCAGGGGTGTCCTTTTGAGTCCTCTGCTATATGCGTTTGTAATCGATCCCTTCATTCGGAGGTTAGAGAGCGGACCATTGTGTGGAGTTCCTTTGGGCATTCCTGGGGAGCCCCCTCTGAGGGTCTTGGCCTATGCTGATGACGTGTCTGTTTTCATCTCCGGGACGCAGGAGGCAGAGGAGGTGGTCTCGGTGATGGAACGGTATGCTGAGGCAGGAGGCGGAGGAGGGGGGTGGTATCGGTGATGGAACAGTATGCTGAGGCAGGAGGCGGAGAGGAGGTGGTCTCAGTGCTGGAACAGTATGATGAAGCAGGAGGTGGTCTCGGTGATGGAACAGTATGCTGAGGCAGGAGGCGGAGGAGGTGGTCTTGGTGATGGAACAGTATGATGAAGCAGGAGGTGGAGGAGGGGGGGTCTCGGTGATGGAACAGTATGCTGAGGCAGGAGGTGGAGGAGGAGGTGGTCTCGGTGATGGAACAGTATGCTGAGACAGGAGGCAGAGGAGGTGGTCTTGGTGATGGAACAGTATGCTGAGGTGCAGGAGGTGGTCTCGGTGATGGAACAGTATGCTGAGGCAGGAGGTGGAGGAGGTGGTCTTGGTGATGGAACAGTATGCTGAGGACAGGAGGCGGAGGAGGTGGTCTCGGTGATGGAACAGTATGCTGAGGCAGGAGGCAGAGAGGTGGCCTCGGTGATGGAACAGTATGCTGAGGCAGGAGGCGGAGGAGGTGGTCTTGGTGATGGAACAGTATGCTGAGGCAGGAGGTGGAGGAGGTGGTCTCGGTGATGGAACAGTATGCTGAGGCAGGAGGTGGAGGAGGTGGTCTCGGTGATGGAACAGTATGCTGAGGCAGGAGGTGGAGGAGGAGGTGGTCTTGGTGATGGAACAGTATGCTGAGGCAGGAGGCGGAGGAGGTGGTCTTGGTGATGGAACAGTATGCTGAGGCGGAGGAGGTGGTCTCGGTGATGGAACCGTATGCTGAGGCAGGAGGCGGAGGAGGTGGTCTTGGTGATGGAACAGTATGCTGAGGCGGAGGAGGTGGTCTCGGTGATGGAACCGTATGCTGAGGCAGGAGGCGGAGGAGGTGGTCTCGGTGATGGAACAGTATGCTGAGGCAGGAGGCGGAGGAGGTGGTCTTGGTGATGGAACAGTATGCTGAGGCAGGAGGCGGAGGAGGTGGTCTTGTGATGGAACAGTATGCTGAGGCAGGAGGCGGAGGAGGTGGTCTCGGTGATAGAACAGTACGCTGAGGCATCTGGCTCAAAGATCAATCAGGATAAGAGTGAGGTTTTCTGGATGGGAGAGGAAGGCGAAGGCTTTACCCTTCCAGACGCCTTCCCAGAGCCCCAGCAGGAAATTAAAGTTTTAGGCATCAGATTTGGTCCCGGTGATTACGGCCTTGCAAATTGGGTAAGCCGGCTACAAGATGCCGATGCCAAGGTGGCCAGCTGGAAGGATTGGAAACTCTCTTACAGGGAAAGGATTGACCTAATTAAAACTTACCTGATCCCGGTATTTCTGTATGTCAGCTTTGTCTGTGTTCCAGTGTCTCTCTATGCGAGGATCTACAGTTGTGTCTTCCAGCTGTTATGGGGGCACAAACTGAACCTCATTAAGAGGTCTGTAACCTACCTTCCCAGGCGGATGGGTGGCCTAGGTATGGTCAACCCGGTGGTTTTCTTTTCTCTGATGTTTTTGAAACATAATTTTGGTAGCATGCTGGCAGAGGAACCGCCTGGGGTGGGTTGGTATTTTTCAGTCCTGGTTTAGGCCTTTTCTACGGAGCTGGGAGAATGGTGGGCCAGTGAAAAGCCTGAGGGTCCAACATGGTAAGCTTATGTTGCCCCATGTCTGAAAATGCTTCGGCAATGGCGAGTGACGGCGGAGGAAATGAAGTCTCTTCCTAGGAAGGCCCTGGAGAGGAGGGTTGTTGAATCTGCCTTTAGCGAGCCATTGGCCTTGAGGGATTGCACAGGGCCGGTTATGGGGGAGGGATTGCACAGGCCCGGTTATGAGGGAGGGATTGCACAGGGCCCGATTTTATGGGGGAGGGATTGCACAGGCCCGGTTATGAGGGAGGGATTGCCCAGGCCCGATTATGGGGGAGGGATTACCCAGGCCCGGTTATGAAGGAGGGATTGCCCAGGCCCGATTATGGGGGAGGGATTACCCAGGCCCGGTTATGGGGGAGGTATTGCCCCAGGCCCGGTTATGGGGGAGGGATTGCCCAGGCCCGGTTATGGGGGAGGGATTGCCCAGGCCCCGGTTATGAGGGAGGGTCTGCGTTTGATGAATCTGGAGAGAATCCCTCTAAAGTTTCGGGATTTGGCCTGGCTCTCGTTCCATGGCAGACTCTATGTGAAGGGCAACCTGAAGTATCGCTCTGCGGAGAACCGTGGTTGTCCAAGAGTGGAGTGCGGTGGAGTGGAGGAGACGATGGACCATTTCTTGCTTCAGTGCCCCTTCAATATAGATGTCTACAAGCGGGTGGGTGGGGCTCTGGGGATCCCTTTCCTTTCCCGCTTGAGTTACGCGGAGTGGTCTTACGGAGCCTTTCAGACTCACCTGGGACTTTGATTTTGAGACACTTTTTCTAGTTAGCTTAGTAGTCCGTTACCACACGTGGAATGCACAGTGTCAGGTTTCCTCCTGCGGAGGTGGTGGTGAACAACATTCTGGGTGAGGTTGGGAAGATTCGGGGTCTTGAGAAGGACAGGTGGCGGCGGGGGAGCCTGGACAAAGGTCTGGAGGAATGTCAGGTCCCCGTAGCTGCTGTCTGTCAGTCTCTGGGGGCGTGGCTTCTCTTTCTGTCCTTTCACGTCCCCTAGATTTTGTAACATCAGATTTTTGAAGAAAGGCGGCATGTGTGGGATCAATGTGTGGGATCAGTGTGTGGGATCATGTGTGTGGGATCAGTGTGTGGGATCAGTGTGTGGGATCAGTGTGTGGGATGAATGTGTGGGATGAATGTTTCATCGTTTTTTAGCCTGAGTGGGGGGTGCAGGTGAAGGTCGGGTTGTGTTTTGCATAATTTAGTAAGTTTTCGGATAATTAAATTAGTTTTCTAGTATATGTTCTCATTATGTTATTTTCAGATAATTAAAACCATTTTCTTTTCTGTTATTTGCTGATGTAAGCTTGTTTGGTTTTGATATATGATATATATTCATTTTTTTTTTATATATGTAAATATGCTTTTATTAATAAGCTGTATGTTGGCAAGATTTTAAATAAACAAACAATTTACACTCTAATGTCCCCTCCCCCCACAGTCACACACTATTATTATTATACATGTACACTATATTGCCTCCGCCCTCCCAATCATGTGATTCAGGTGTCCCAATCCCTCCAATCATGTGATTCAGGTGTCCCAATCCCCTCCCAATCATGTGATTCAGGTGTCCCAATCCCCTCCCAATCATGTGATTCAGGTGTCCCAATCCCCTCCCAATCATGTGATTCAGGTGTCCCAATTTCCCATATCATGTGATTCAGGTGTCCCAATCCCCTCCCAATCATGTGATTCAGGTGTCCCAATCCCCTCCCAATCATGTGATTCAGGTGTCCCAATCCCCTCCCCCAATCATGTGATTCAGGTGTTTCAATCTATTCCATATCATGTGATTCAGGTGTCCAATCCCTCTCCATATCATGTGATTCAGGTGTTCCAATCCCCTCCATATCATGTGATTCAGGTGTCCCACTCCCCTCCATATTATGTGATTCAGGTGTTCCAATCCCCTCCCAATCATGTGATTCAGGTGTTTCAATCCCTTCCATATAATGTGATTCAGGTGTTTCAATCCCTTCCATATCATGTGATTCAGGTGTTCCAATCCCCCCAATTATGTGATTCAGGTGTTCCAATCCCCTTCCAATCATGTGATTCAGGTGTCCCAATCCCCTCCAATCATGTGATTCAGGTGTTCCAATCCCCTCCATATCATGTGATTCAGGTGTCCCAATCCCCTCCATATCATGTGATTCAGGTGTTCCAATCCCCTCCATATCATGTGATTCAGGTGTTCCAATCCCCTCCATATCATGTGATTCAGGTGTTCCAATCCCCTCTAATCATGTGATTCAGGTGTTCCAATCCCCTCCATATCATGTGATTCAGGTGTTCCAATCCCCTCCATGGACACAGGTGTATACAATCAAGCCCCTAGGCATGCAGACGGCTTCTACAAACATTGGTGAAAGAATGGGTCGCTCTCAGGAGCTCAGTGGCTCCAAGCGTGGTCCCGTGATAGGTGGCCACTGGGCAATAAGTCCATCCGTGACATTTCCTGGCTACTAAATATTCCACGCTCAACTGTTAGTGGGATTATAACAAAGTGGAAGCCACTGGGAACAACAGCCACTCAGCCACCAAGTGGTAGGCCACGTCACATGACAGGGCAGGGGTCAGCGCATGCTGAAGCGCACAGTGCGCAGAAGTCGCCAACTGTCTGCAGAGTCAATAGCTAAAGACCTCCAAACTTGGTGTGGCCTTCAGATGAGCCCAACAACAGTGCGTAGCAGAGCTTCATGGAATGGGATTCCATGGTGTAAAGCACGCGCCAGCAGCTGCATCCAAGCCTTCCATCACCAAGTGCAATGCAAAGCGTCGGATGACGTGGTGTAAAGCACGCCGCCACTGGACTCTTGAGCAGGGGAGACGTGTTCTCTGGAGTGACCAATCACACTTCTCTGTCTGGCAATCCGATGGACGTGTCTGGGTTTGGCGGTGGCCAGGAGAACGGTACTTGCCTGACTGCATTGTGCCAAGTGTAAAGTTTGGTGGAGGGGGATTATAGTGTGGGGGTGTTCCTCAGGGGGTGGGCTTGGCCCCCTAGTTCCAGTGAAGGGAACTCTTATGGCGACATTTTGGACAATTTCATGCTCCCAACTTTGTGGGAGGAGTTTGGGGATGGCCCCTTCCTGTTCCAACATGACTGCACACCAGTGCACAAAGCAAGGTCCATAAAGACATGGAGGAGCCAGTTTGGGGTGGAGGAACTTGACTGTCCTGCACAGAGTCCTGACCTCAACCCCATAGAACACCTTTGGGATGAATTAGAGCGGAGACTGCGAGCCAGGCCTCCTCCCCCGACATCAGTGCCCCTCCCCCGACATCAGTGCCTCCTCCCCTGGAAGATGGTCCATCATAGTGACACCCTCCTAAACCTGACAAATGTGCTTCTGGAAGAATGGTCCAACCTTCCCATAGACACCCTCCTAAACCTTGTGGACGGGCCAATATTGAACCCAGAAGAGTTGAAGCAATATTGTTATAGCTGCATTAAAGGTCATGGCGGGGCCAACTCAATATTGAACCCTACGGACTAAGACTGGGGGGCCATTAAAGGTCATGTGTGTGGAAAGGGCGGGGCCAACTCAATATTGAACCCTACGGACTAAGACTGGGGGGCCATTAAAGGTCATGTGTGTGGAAAGGGCGGGGCCAACTCAATATTGAACCCTACGGACTAAGACTGGGGGGCCATTAAAGGTCATGTGTGTACTGGGGGCCATTAAAAGGGAGGGGCCAACTCAATATTGAACCCTACGGACCAAGACTGGGGGGCCATTAAAGGTCATGTGTGTGGGAAGGATGGGGCCAACTCAATATTAAACCCTACGGACTAAGACTGGGGGGCAATATGGTGTATATAAGGGGGGCGGGGGACAATACTTGGGGCAATACGATACGATGTATATATGGGGGGCGGGGACAATACTTGGGGCAATATAGTGTATATATGGGGGGGGGGGGGGACAATACTTGGGGCAATATGGTGTATTACGGGGGGGGGGGGGGGCAATACTTGGGGCAATATGGTGTATATACGGGGGGGGGGGGGTGGGGACAATACTTGGGGCAATACTTGGGGCAATATGGTGTATATACGGGGGGGGGCGGGGACAATACTTGGGGCAATATAGAGTGTATATATAGTGTATAGTGTATATATAAAAATAATATATAAATCCTATCTTGGTTCCCATTGGATTGGATTTCCATCTGTGTACAATTATAAAATGGTGGGTGCAGCGATCCCATTGGTAAGGAGAACGTTCCTTTAAGGCACTCCCCCCTGTCCCGGGCGCGTTGTCCTCTCCTGACCTCACCTAAATAGTCTGACGCTTGGTTGTAGCTTCCCCTTGCTGATTCCTTCGCTTTTAGTGGTGAAATAATGGCGAACAACGGGCGGAACAGCTAATGTCAGTGAGAGACGGCGTGCCGCGCCATTCCTTTCCTCGCACACGTAATCAGCTCTTTCCGAGAAGACGGAACCATAAACATGAGAGATAACCTAATGGAAGGACTCATCACTCTCCCGGAATGTTCCTCTAATCTTTCTCCAGCTAATTGGATTTCTCTACTAATCAGTCTAAGAACAGTTCCCATTTCCGCGGTCGCAGTACGGGGGAACGCCGAGCGGTGATGGCGTTGTATCCGCGGCTCTGCGCGGTCTTCGGGGATTTAACAAGTGCCTGTCTGGATTCGGCATGCTGAGGGGTTCCAGAGCTGTCCTGGAAGTGGCTTCCTGAGATACTTTTCTGGTGAAGCCGAAATCACTTGTTATGGATGCCATGGATGGACGCCGTGGATGGACGCCGTGGATGGACGCCGTGGATGGACGACCGTGGATGGACGCCGTGGATGGATGACATGGATGGACGCCGTGGATGGACGCCGTGGATGGACGCCGTGGATGGACGCCGTGGATGGACGCCGTGGATGGACGACATGGATGGACACGCCATGGATGGACGACATGGATGGACGCCGTGGATGGATGCCGTGGATGGACGCCGTGGATGGATGCCGTGGATGGACGCCGTGGATGGACGCCGTGGATGGACGCCCTGGATGGACGCCTGGATGGACGCCGTGGATGGACGCCGTGGACGGACGCCGTGGACGGACGCCCGTGGACGGACGCCGTGGACGGACGCCGTGGACGGACGCCGTGGATGGACGCCATGGATGGATCCACCATGGAAGGGAATGCATTGGGGGCGTTGTGTACACTTTGTCCAAACAATAGCACTCCTAATATTAGCGGCACATTATATAGATGTGTATCTCATTCCTTTCGTTGGTCTCTATGTGCGAACTTATTTACACAAATATTAAGTGACATAAATTATATGTGACAAAAAATAAACCCAATAAATGATATGTTATAATAATGCCCAGAAAACACCGAAATATAAATCCAGTGTAATCAATAATGGAAAAAATAATAATAAAATCATCCAAAAAAATTCTTCGACAATGTGAATCCTTTGTGACTCCCAGTGCAGAAATAAATAAACCGCGTGCTGTGCCCAGGGGAGGACTGACCATTTGGAAACTTGGGCACTGCCCGAGGGCCCGGGGTCAGTAGGGGGCCCCATGAGATGTCCCTGGCTGTGCCTGTCATACACCCCCTCTTAGGTGTGCACTCACCAGAACACAGCCCTTTTGTTAGGACCGGGAGGTTCCTCCAATCATCATCCATGATAAGAATGGTAGCCGAGATCATCTCATATTCCTCTCCATAGTTACACAGAGAAGGAAATTCGCTCCAATTGTGTGTAACCCGAGAAAACGACTTCCATACGACGAATATCACAGCTACAGCAATCCAAACATAGCTACTCCTCACTGACAATATCCATATCACAGGAGCTCTCACTGCTCTACACTGCTCACCACTCCTCAACGTCACCCCACCACTGCGTCTACACTCTCTCAACATTACCCCACCACTGCGTCTACGCTCAACCACTGCTCTACGCTCACTGCTCACCACTCCTCAACGTCACCCCACCACTGCGTCTACGCTCAACCACTGCTCTACACTGCTCACCACTCCTCAACGTCACCCCACCACTGCGTCTACGCTCAACCACTGCTCAACACTCCTCAACGTCACCCCACCACTGCGTCTACCCTCCTCAACATTACCCCACCACTGCGTCTACCCTCCTCAACGTCACCCCACCACTGCGTCTACACTCCTCAACATTACCCCACCACTGCGTCTACCCTCCTCAACGTCACCCCCCACCACTGCGTCTACACTCCTCAACCACTGCTCTACACTCCTCAACACTCCTCAACGTCACCCCACCACTGCGTCTACGCTCAACCACTGCTCAACACTCCTCAACATTACCCCACCACTGCGTCTACACTCCTCAACGTCACCCGACCACTGCGTCTACACTCCTCAACATTACCCCACCACTGCGCTCTACACTCCTCAACGTCACCCGACCACTGCGTCTACATTCCTCAACATTACCCCACCACTGCATCTACACTCCTCAACGTTACCCCACCACTGCGTCTACACTCCTCAACATTACCCCACCACTGCGTCTACACTCCTCAACGTCACCCGACCACTGCTCAACACTCCTCAACATTACCCCACTGCGTCTACACTCCTCAACGTCACCCGACCACTGCGTCTACACTCCTCAACATTACCCCACCACTGCGTCTACACTCCTCAACGTCACCCGACCACTGCGTCTACATTCCTCAACATTACCCCACCACTGCATCTACACTCCTCAACGTTACCCCACCACTGCGTCTACACTCCTCAACATTACCCCACCACTGCGTCTACACTCCTCAACGTCACCCGACCACTGCGTCTACACTCCTCAACGTCACCCGACCACTGCGTCTACACTCCTCAACATTACCCCACCACTGCGTCTACACTCCTCAACGTCACCCGACCACTGCGTCTACACTCCTCAACGTCACCCGACCACTGCGTCTACACTCCTCAACGTCACCCGACCACTGCGTCTACACTCCTCAACGTCACCCACCACTGCGTCTACACTCCTCAACGTTACCACATCAGTGGTGTCCTCAATGTTGCATATTTCTTTGTGCTTCTTCTAAAGTGTTTGATGAATGGAACTGATTCTGGTTTGAAGCCGAAGTGAAGTCACACCAAATATTGATTTGATTTAGATTTTTCTTCCGTTCGCTCACTTTGGAATTTTATAAAATGATAAAAATAAACAATTGAAATATCTATTTCTGAAAACATTCTGACTTTCCAGCATTCCTTCCCATCTGCGCAGTACTCTGTATACATAGATGATCAGGAAACCTTTCACTCCATCAGATGCAAATATTCACCAGACAAGTATGCCAAGAAAAGATGGCGTCCAGTTTCCCCTCCCCCCCCTTGTTCTAGAGGCGCCCGATCGGCTTCCCCCTGCCAGGTAAAAGTAAGACTTGTCCTAATTATCAATAGAAGAGTCCATATGGGCCGTATTTTTTCCTCTCCTCGGGGGAAGGAGATGCAATTGTTTGTTGTGAATCTGGAGATGCGTCTCCTCCTCCTAGATGGTGATCGTATAAAACCCTCTGTGATGGTGTCACCTCCGCCTGACACCCCATCCCTGCATCTCACATTTTATGTCCTCGTATTTATCGCCCGCCGGATTTACAGCCGCTAATCTTTTCAGCTTGTCTGCGGCTCCACTCCTCGCACGCGCCGCCATTCTCATGGAGAACTGTAACATTTTACTGGCCGGTCTTTGCTTCCAATGTTACGTTTACAATGTTGTCTCTTTGTAGAGAATTATAGGGCCGAAGCCGGAGGAGCCGGAGAAGCTGAAGAAGCCGGAGGAGTCAGAACTGAGCCGGAGAAGCTGAAGAAGCCGGAGGAGCCGGAGAAACTGAAAAAGCCGGAGAAGCTGAAGAGAAGCCGGAGGAGCCGGAGACGTCAGAGGAGCCGGAGAAGCTGAAGGAGCCGGAGAGGCCGGAGAAGCTGAAGAAGCCGGAGGGAGCCGGAGACGTCAGAGGAGCCGGAGAAGCTGAAGGAGCCGGAGAAGCTGAAGAAGCCGGAGGAGTCGGAGGAGCCGGAGAAGCTGAAGAAGCCGGAGGAGTCGGAGGAGCCGGAGAAGCTGAAGAAGCCGGAGGAGTCGGAGGAGCCGGAGAAGCTGAAGAAGCCGGAGGAGTCGGAGGAGCCGGAGAAGCTGAAGAAGCCGGAGGAGTCGGAGGAGCCGGAGAAGCTGAAGAAGCCGGAGGAGTCAGAGGAGCTGAAGAAGACGGAAAAGCTGAAGAAGACGGAGAAGCCAGAGGAGTTGGAGGTGTCGGAGGAGCCGGAGTAGTTGGAGAAGCCAAAGAAGCTTGAGAAGCCGAAGGAGCCGGAAAAGTTGGAGGAGCCGGAGAAGCCGGAGGAGCCCAAGAAGCTGGAGAAGCCGGAGGAGCCCAAGAAGCTGGAGAAGCTGGAGAAGTTGGAGGAGCCGGAGACGTCCGAGGAGCCGGAGAAGCCGGAGCCCGCCGACCAATACACCTTTCTTATGTTGAACGGCATCCAGATTCAGTCCATTTTTGACATTGAAAAAAAAGATGGCGGCATGTGATCCGTAGCAATGAGAGCTACATAGTGGGCCGAATATTCCAGATTTGAATATTTTTGGTTATGGGGGAAGGATATTTTTTATTCAATATTTTAAAATGTCTCTTTTACAAGAACATATACCCACCTTGTGTTGCCTGTATGGTACAGGTCAATATTCCTCCCACTGACACCAATGATGGGGCACTATTCCTCCCACTGACACCAATGATGGGGCACTATTCCTACCCACTGACACCAATGATGGGGCACTATTCCTCCCACTGACAACCAATGATGGGGCACTATTCCTCCCACTGATACCAATGATCGGGGCACTATTCCTCACCACTGACCACCAATGATGGGGCACTATTCCTCCCACTGACACCAATGATGGGGCACTATTCCTCCCACTGACACCAATGATGGGGCACTATTCCCCCCACTGACACCAATGATGGGGCACTATTCCCCCCTCCCGCAGACACCAATGATGGGGGCACTATTCCTCCCACTGACACCAATGATGGGTCACTATTCCTCCGACTGACACCAATGATGGGTCACTATTCCTCCGACTGACACCAATGATGGGGCACTATTCCTCCCACTGACACCAATGATGGGGCACTATTCCTCCACTGACACCAATGATGGGGCACTATTCCTCCCACTGACACCAATGATGGGGCACTATTCCTCCCACTGACACCAATGATGGGGCACTATTCCTCCCACTGACACCAATGATGGGGCACTATTCCTCCCACTGATACCAATGATGGGGCACTATTCCTCCCACTGACACCAATGATGGGGCACTATTCCTCCCACTGACACCAATGATGATGGGGCACTATTCCTCCCACTGACACCAATGATGGGGCACTATTCCACCCACTGACACCAATGATGGGGCACTATTCCTCCCACTGACACCAATGATGGGGTACTATTCCTTCCACTGATACCAATGATGGGGTACTATTCCTCCCACTGACACCAATGATGGGGTACTATTCCTTCCACTGACACCAATGATGGGGTACTATTCCTTCCACTGACACCAATGATGGGGTACTATTCCTTCCACTGACACCAATGACGGGGCACTATTCCTCCCACTGACACCAATGACGGGGCACTATTCCTCCCACTGACACCAATGATGGGGCACTATTCCTCCCACTGACACCAATGATGGGACACTATTCCTCCCACTGACACCAATGATGGGACACTATTCCACCCACTGACACCAATGATGGGGCACTATTCCACCCACTGACACCAATGATGGGGCACTATTCCCCCCACTGACACCAATGATGGGGCACTATTCCTCCCACTGACACCAATGATGGGGCGCCATTCCTCCCACTGACACCAATGATGGGACACTATTACTCCCACTGACACCAATGATGGGGAACTAGGACATTTTCAACTCCCATTGGCCACACTTTGCCCCCCCCTAAAAGTGTGAAGGACAGTAATGTGGCAGTTTGTTAGGAAAGATTGGAGACCCCTGGTGTAGATCTACAAAGCCCTAAACTGCAACTAATTAAAGGGCCCCGTGTGCTCCAGGCATGGATGTGGATCGGGGGGTGGAGTGAAGAGGGTCCAGGACCTGCCATTGTGCACACGTGTGTGGCAGATCTTGATGTACCCGAGCCGGGAACTGGTTTCCTATTAACAAAGTGACATCGGAACACTCTGCAGCTAAAAATAAAAGCTGCGTCCCCCGGTGACACCATAGATCCTCTTCACATTCTATAGGCTTCAAGAAGCTGGATCCCTAGACAGGTAGGTCTGCAGACAGGAGGTAGGTATAGCAGCCCTGCGATCAGAGGTGTCCCCCGGTGACACCATAGATCCTCTTCACATTCTATAGGCTTCAAGAAGCTGGATCCCTAGACCGGTAAGTCTGCAGACAGGAGGTAGGTATAGCAGCCATGCTACCAGAGGTGTCCCCTGTGACACCATAGATCCTCTTCACATTCTATAGGATTCAAGAAGCAGTGCCTGTGAGTCCTGGGCAGGGGGAGGAGCCTTGACAACCTGGGCTCACATGAAGTGGGTGGATTTATTCATCCCAGAACTGGAGTGATCTGGATCCCTAGACAGGTAGGTCTGCAGACAGGAGGTAAGTATAGCCGCCCGGCTACCAGAGGTGTCCCCCGGTGACACCATAGACCCTCTTCACATTCTATAGGCTTCAAGAAGCAGTGCCTGTGAGTCCTGGGCAGGGGGCGGAGCCTTGACAACCTGGGCTCACATGAAGTGGGTGGCCTTATTCATCCCAGAACTGGAGTGATCTGGATCCCTAGACAGGTAAGTCTGCAGACAGGAGGTAGGTATAGCAGCCATGCTACCAGAGGTGGTGTCCCCCCTGTGACACCATAGATCCTCTTCACATTCTATAGGCTTCAAGAAGCAGTGCCTGTGAGTCCTGGGCAGGGGGCGGAGCCTTGACAACCTGGGCTCACATGAAGTGGGTGGCCTTATTCATCCCAGAACTGGAGTGATCTGGATCCCTAGACAGGTAAGTCTGCAGACAGGAGGTAGGTATAGCCGCCCGGCTACCAGAGGATCCTTTTTTCTTTATTTTTGCAAACTTGCTTGATTTTCCTATAAACAGGAAATAAAAGGAATTTTTTTTCTCTTTGTGTTTTTATTTCCATGATTTTATGAACCAGAAACACAAACATGTCAGGAGATTTCCCATCTCGGCGCCCATGACAAGGCCGCCAAATGTGCCGTCACGCCTCTCCATGGCCGCCGGACCAAATTGTGAATATCCTGACCTTTTCCTGCGAGCCGCCGACACCCCGCTAATGACTGTCCTTAGTGTTCAGCCTGGAAATGTTCGATGGCTCAGCTGCTCTTTGTGCCGCGATGAGAAGGGCCGGCTGATCGATGGACGCGGCTCTGTGAAGGCAGACATTGGGGGGGTTCCCGGGGGGGGGGGGGGGGGGGGTGTTCCCAACGTTAGAAAAAAGCAGACAAAAACCTTCCGTTAGATAAAATCCAGAAAACTTCACTTTGTAAGGTCGAACTTTCAGCGCCGTCCGCACTGCTGCGTTGCGTCACCGCGCTGTACAACACATGCATGATCGATAAAGGGTGAGAACCAGCGGGACGTCGCGTCGGCTGTCGGAGAGGTGGTGCCGGCTGTAAGGCTCGTATGTACGCACACGCATCGGAACACGCACACACAGGTCCTAGACATGTGCAGAACGGAAACATTTGTTTTTGTTTTCTATCGATTGTTAAGTTACTAGCCCCTCCCCCTCCAGAGGATTTTATCCTGAAGACTCCTGGGATGGATGACATCATGTGCCTAGGCATGGGAAACCAGGAAGTAACTGAAGAAATGGAACTCCCCCCCCTCCCCCCCAGTATAAAAGAAGGAAATGTAATATACCTTCCTATCGATGGACTAATACTGGCAGTGTAAGGACTAGAGATCGTCCGTGTGACTGAGAGAGGGAAGTTTCTACTTAACCCCTCCTGAGATTTTCCCCCCCCCCCTCTCCAGAGGATCCCCCCCCTCGCCGTCCTGAGGATTCACTTTCCCCCTCCCTCTCCAAAGGATTCCCCTCTCCCCCTCCTGAGGATTGCCGCCTTCCCCTCCAGAGGATTTCCCCCCCTCCTCCAGAGGATCCCCCCCTCACCGTCCTGAGGATTCACCTTCCCCTCCCTCTCCAGAGGATTCCCCCCCTCACCCTCCTGAGGATTCCCCCCCTCGCCCTCCCGATGATCCCCCCCCCTCCAGAGGATCCCCCCCTCACCGTCCTGAGGATTCACCTTCCCCTCCCTCTCCAGAGGATTCCCCCCCTCACCCTCCTGAGGATTTCGCCCCCGATGATCCCCCCCCCTCCAGAGGAAGAGGATTCACCTTCCCCCCCCTCCTGAGGATCACCCCCTGAGGATTCCCCCCTCTCCTGAAGATTCCCTCCCCCTCCTGAGGATCCCCCCCTCCCTCTCCCCCCCCCCCCCCTGGTCTGTTGGCCAACCTATGGTAAGTTTGTCATCAGTTGGTTGGACCTGACTTTACCAAACCAGGGAGGCAATCTTGTGAAAGGTTCCTCCTTCCCTCCTCGTCTTCAGGTAGAAAGGTGTCCTTGGGATGCCATCCCATCTGGGAAGAGGAGTTGTTGCCTCTGGTTTGAGGTCTCAGGGCTAGAACCCTCACCTGGGGGGCACCTCTCCTCTTTGTCATCAGGCTTTGTGTCTGAAGCAGGGGTGTATTTACCACAAGGCAAACAAGGCACTTGCCTAGGGGCGGCATTTTTCAGGGGGGCAGCACCTCCCCCCACAAGAAGGAATGAAAGAAGGGACTCGTGCACCATGGGAACCAGGTGGGATCAGAGAGAGGCTGCGGGCTGCTTGATGGTGTATGTTGAGCCTGACTCTCGTTCACAGGGTTTGTCCGGAGCTGTGAAGATAAGTGTCTCTATCGCCTGGGGGGGGGGGGGGGGGGGTAGTGGAAGACTCTCCCGACGATTGTGGGGCAGGGGTGTTGTTGGTCATTGGCAGGCTCTCTGCCCTAGGTAACACGATTTGTGTATTACCTAGGGCAGCACAAAACCTAAATACACCACTTTCCCTGGGCACTCAGTAGAGACTTTGGGCTCTGAGTAGAAGACCTTAAGTACTCAATAAAATACCTACAGCACTCGGTAGATGACCTAGGGCACTCAGTAGAAGGCCTTGAGCACTCAGTAGAAGACCTTGGAAGCTCAGTAGAAGACCCTGGGCGCTCAGTAGAAGACTTTGGGCACTCAGTAAAAAAAACACCCTGGGCCCTCTGGGCACTCTGAGTAGAAGAAGACAGCACTCGGGATGACCTCACTGAGTAGAAGATCCTCAGTAGGACCTCAGTAGAAGATCCCCTGGGACCTCAGTAGAAGACTTTGGGCACTCAGTAGAGACTTAGGCACTGAGTAGGAGACCTGAGGCCCTCATTAAAAGACCTGAGGCACTCAGTAGAAGACATGGAGCGATTAGTAGAAAGCCGTGGGCGCTCAGTAGAAGACTGTGGGCACATGCTCTGGGTGTCAAGGTCTAGCAATGCAACCTTGAAGAGGGGGTCTTCAAGGGGAACAAAAGTCTGCGCAAGGCTAGACATCATTGACTACAGTATGGGCTCAAAGAGAATCCCCTCTTTTTTGTGGATATATGATGGTTTATAAACCTTAGATGTATTTGAAATCTAGAGAAGGGGAAACTATAGACAGCCATAAGCTAGGAATTAAAAATATAATTCCAAAAAAAGGGTGAAAGGAGCAGACAGGAGGCAGGGCAGTGCAACAAATTCTTCTGAATTCCAGGCTATGACTAGTACTGTTAACCTTGTCAGCAACGTAAGGAAATGCAGGACATCATAAACCTGACTTACAAGGCTATGCAAAGGACTTCCAATGAGGTCCTGTCATGAATGGTCCAATTGTAAGCTAGGGAGCAGTTTGAGGAATATACATCTGTGAGACTAAGGTTGTGACCTACAGTGACCTGTAGCTGAGCTTCGATAGGTCTCAAATTTTCCATAACTCCTACGATAATGGAGTTGCCTTCCTTAAAAGTGGCTACACTAATATATATGAAGATACCACTTAGATACCAAACACGCCTATATTACCAGGTCCAAAATACTAATAAGATACATTAGACATCCTAAGAGAAAAATACATGAGATATATCGTATTTGGTGTCTTGCAAATCATGATTTCAATATGTAACTAATATGCCGGTATCCAGAGTGTAAAACCTCGTCATATGAATAATCTATAGCTGTGACCAGGATATTTGGCATTAAGGTCATGTCCACTGGGCATAATAAAATACTCCAGCACACCTACGACACGCCCCTCAGACCTTTTCATTTGGTGGAGCTCGGCAACACTCTTCCAAAGGACAAGAATAATCTGCTGGGTTTGGTAGCTGGCAGCTCTTGATTAGAAAATACTAAAAGCCATCTTCTGAGGGACTCTTGCAGACATCAGATTGGACTTACTCTGCAAGTGATCCAATTCTACTCTAAACCCGGAGGATTCTACTACAGCATTTTTTTTACCTTTATACACTTTTTGTTTTATTGTTGCCTATGTCTGTTTTGGAGTGTTTTTTTTTTGTAAATGTTTCTTGCACTTTTTTTGTTTGTTCTTATTAAAATCAAATGTAAAAACCATTAAGCCGAATCTCTGAATATTCTAATTAGAAGGTGAAGCAGTCTGCCTCCCTGAAGAAGCTACCATAGTGTAACCTCTGTAACCTTCCTGTCTGGGTGTGGCAGCGAGTGGTGCACTGCACTGCAAAGGTCAAATGCTTGTTGTATCTAGGGGGGTACAGTTCTGGGTGCATTACTTTTCTGTCTCCCCAACTCTGGTGCTTTTTTCCTTTGGTCTCTCTGTGGGCAGAGCCTTGGCATCATGACATACATTACAAGGACATGGACCCAGTGTTGTACCGTGGGCAGGCTGGAGTGCCACTGTGACCACTGTCCGCTTACAGGGACCCTGCTGGAGCAAGGAATGAGGTGAGCATTTCTCTTTCTCCCTCTACCTCTAGACATGATGGGCATTATTTGGGGGGTGGGGTGTTGCTTGCAATGGTGGATTTGTTGCTATTCCTGGAGATGAGCTTTGAAGGTCACAACTGCAACAGAAGATGCTGTGAATGGTGGCGGCTACAGGGTGTGTGTGTAAAAGGTTTACTGCTCAGTTGGCTGGCCCCAGTGATGATCACTACCAGTCTGCTGTCCAGACTGGTACAGCAGACTGGTACCCTGTTGAGAGCTGAGCCAATCAAACCCTTCCTGACAACGTGCAGTCTGGAAAGGGAAACAGCAATGGCCCCGCTACATTCCCATTAATTCATTCCAAAGGTGTTCAGTAGGGTTGAGGTCGGTTCTGTGGAGGACCCTTGAATTCCTCCGCACAAAACTGGTCAAACCATGTCTTTATGGAGCTGGCTCACAGTGCCAAGGCTTACCAAAGGTGTTCAGTAGGGTTGAGGTCAGGTTCTGTGGAGGACCCTTGAATTCCTCCGCACAAAACTGGTCAAACCATGTCTTCATGGAGCTGGCTCACAGTGCCAAGGCTTACCAAAGGTGTTCAGTAGGGTTGAGGTCAGGGCTCTGTGGAGGACCCTTGAATTCCTCGCACAAAACTGGTCAAACCATGTCTTCATGGAGCTGGCTCACAGTGCCAAGGCTTACCAAAGGTGTTCAGTAGGGTTGAGGTCGGTTCTGTGGAGGACCCTTGAATTCCTCCGCACAAAACTGGTCAAACCATGTCTTCATGGAGCTGGCTCACAGTGCCAAGGCTTACCAAAGGTGTTCAGTAGGGTTGAGGTCAGGGCTCTGTGGAGGACCCTTGAATTCCTCCGCACAAAACTGGTCAAACCATGTCTTCATGGAGCTGGCTCACAGTGCCAAGGCTTACCAAAGGTGTTCAGTAGGGTTGAGGTCAGGGCTCTGTGGAGGACCCTTGAATTCCTCCGCACAAAACTGGTCAAACCATGTCTTCATGGAGCTGGCTCACAGTGCCAAGGCTTACCAAAGGTGTTCAGTAGGGTTGAGGTCACTGGGGTCTTCATCTGGTGGAGGGACCCAGTAGGGTTGAGGTCGGCTTTCTTGCTTTCCCACATCAAACTGGTTGTCAAGGATTCGTTAAACGATCACCCTGTCACGTGTCCACCACACTCCACGCCCACAGCGACTAGCTAACCGTGACGCACACGTGCGGCCGCGACAGGGTGGTAAAGAGGGGATAATAAAGGGGATTTACACTTAAATATCTCAAACCGTATATAAGATCAGCCGTGATACCTTTTCACAGCCCGCACTACCTCTGCCCACCACCAGATGGAGACTCCACTCCAATCCAGCTGGTTGACCACACACTGGCAGATACGATCTTACATACAACCTGGTGCCCTGATTAGAGTTGAGGACCAGCTTAGTAATCACACCCTTCTAAGGTCCCTTCAGCTATCCTAGCTTGAACCCCGGTGTTATCACCCTTCCACTGTCCACACACCCCCCCACACCAGACGCACCACAAAGGTAGCCTGCCACCGCCCAACAGTTTATCCGCAGAATGGTCTGTTGAGACACCCCACACACACAGATCTCCGTCTGGCAGATCTGTTACCTTTGCAATCTGCGTGCAATCTGCCCACTCGCAGTGCAGTTGCATACAGATTGGCAATGAGCTTAACCGAGCGTTTTAAAGGCACTAAAATACAATACAATATAATCTCTCCAATCTAATTTCTCCAATCTAGTCTCTCCTCTCCAATCTAATCTCTCCAATCTAATCTCTCCAATCTAATCTCTCCAATCTAGTCTCTCCAATCTAATCCCTCCAATCTAGTCTCTCCAATCTAGTCTCTCCAATCTAGTCTCTCTCCAATCTAGTCTCTCTCTCCAATCTAGTCTCTCCAATATAATCTCTCCAATCTAGTCTCTCCAATATAATCATCTCCAATCTAATCTCTCCAATCTAATCTCTCCAATGTAATCTCTCCAATCTAATCCTCTCCAATCTAGTCTCTCCAATCTAATCTCTCCAATCTAGTCTCTCCAATCTAGTCTCTCCAATCTAGTCTCTCCAATCTAATCTCTCCAATCTAATCTCTCCAATCTAGTCTCTCCAATCTAATCTCTCCAATCTAATCTCTCCAATCTAATCTCTCCAATCTAGTCTCTCCAATCTAGTCTCTCCAATCTAATCCCTCCAATCTAATCTCTCCAATCTAATCTCTCCAATCTAATCTCTCCAATCTAGTCTCTCCAATCTAGTCTCTCCAATCTAGTCTCTCCAATCTAATCTCTCCAATCTAGTCTCTCCAATCTAGTCTCTCCAATCTAGTCTCTCCAATCTAATCTCTCCAATCTAGTCTCTCCAATCTAGTCTCTCCAATCTAATCTCTCCAATCTAGTCTCTCCAATCTAAGTCTCTCCAATCTAATCTCTCCAATCTAAGTCTCTCCAATCTAGTCTCTCCAATCTAATCTCTCCAATCTAGTCTCTCCAATCTAATCTCTCCAATCTAGTCTCTCCAATCTAGTCTCTCCAATCTAGTCTCTCCAATCTAGTCTCTCCAATCTAATCTCTCCAATCTAGTCTCTCCAATCTAATCTCTCCAATCTAGTCTAGTCTCTCCAATCTAATCTCTCCAATCTAGTCTCTCCAATCTAATCTCTCCAATCTAATCTCTCCAATCTATCTCTCCAATCTAATCTCTCCAATCTAGTCTCTCCTAATCTATCTAATCTCTCCAATCTAATCTCTCCAATCTAATCTCTCCAATCTATCTATCCAATCTAATCTCTCCAAATCAATCTCTCCAATCTAATCTCTCCAATCTAATCTCTCCAATCTAGTCTCTCCAATCTAATCTCTCCAATCTAGTCTCTCCAATCTAATCTCTCCAATCTAATCTCTCCAATCTAATCTCTCCGATCTAGTCTCTCCAATCTAGTCTCTCCGATCTAGTCTCTCCGATCTAATCTCTCCGATCTAGTCTCTCCAATCTAATCTCTCCAATCTAGTCTCTCCAATCTAGTCTCTCCAATCTAGTCTCTCCAATCTAGTCTCTCCAATCTAATCTCTCCAATCTAATCTCTCCAATCTAGTCTCTCCAATCTAGTCTCTCCAATCTAATCTCTCCAATCTATCTCTCTCTCCAATCTAGTCTCTCCAATCTAGTCTCTCCAATCTAATCTCTCCAATCTAATCTCTCCAATCTAATCTCTCCAATCTAAGTCTCTCCAATCTAATCTCTCCAATCTAGTCTCTCCAATCTAGTCTCTCCAATCTAATCTCTCCAATCTCGTCTCTCCGAAGATATGAGCACGAGCTTAAATACACAGAAGTTCACTAATTAATTTTAAGATTTAATTTCCCAAAGTGGGCGGGGCATAAAATATGTACAAAATATAACAAGTTACAGAAATACAAAAGATATAAGAAGACCCACAAATGACTAATTACTATAAAATAAAAGGGAATAAAAAGACAGAATAACACTTTACCCTGCGGCTGGAGCAAGCCAGAAACTTGGCAATCCATTGGTCAATCGAACCAGCTCCGTACGGATCACCTGTCCAAATGTCCGTGCGTTCAATTTATTGCGATTTGGACATGGGCAGGACATTAGTCTTCGGCCAATTGGCTCTGGGGGAGGTGGTCCTGACCTGCCCACAAGAGGTACTGTGTATGGACCTGCCCAAGTTCAATTGGGCCGAGACTGGCCTGAACACCAAGTCGGGGATTGGATTTCTGACACCAGTGCGTCAGCCCGATCGCAACAGTACCAAACACCATCCGACTGTCGCACCCCCGCGTCATCTAATCATTCCATGCATTTCCTGGCTTCCTCCCCAAGCCACAAATATGGTTTTCATATGCAAATGTAGTGTACAGAGCGCCCTACAAGAAGGGAGTATGTTCATCTCTCCAACTAATATTTCATCTTTTATAAGAGATTAAACATCCCCCTTTGATGAATACATAACCCCAGCCATCCCTCTCCTATAACAAATTCCTAAACAGGTTTCCCAGCAGGTGATCATCTCATTAACACAAAGGTGTCACCCCCAGGAGGCGGGGCTTTAGGCTAATTAACTCTAATTGATGCTAAATGTTGATTGGGTCTGTAAGGCCTATGTAGTCATTGTGTGTACATACACATCTGATCCCAGATCCATGGATGACCATTGCTTGTACCTTCTATTCATTTCCCTACTGCCCAGGGGGCTCAATGTACATCCTTAATGACCAGACTGTTCCTGAACACACCTTTGTAATGAAAGGGCGTGGCCTCATCTCATCTACTCACCTGTTATGGCTATGAGTCCATATTTCCACTCAAATCTTACATGTCCGTTACAATAATCTTACATGTCCGTTACAATAAATCTTACATGTACATTACACTGGTCAAACCATGTCTTTATGGAGCTGGCTCACAGTTCCAAGGCTTACCAAAGGTGTTCAGTGGGGTTGAGGCCAGGGGTTCTGTCAGGACCCTTGCATTCCTCCACATCAAACTGGTCAAACCATGTCTTTATGGAGCTGGCTCACATTCCAAGGCTTCCCAAAGATGTTCAGTAGGGTTGAGGTCGGTTCTGTCAGGACACTTGCATTCCTTCACACCAAACTGGTCAAACCATGTCTTTATGGAGCTGGCTTTGTATATAAGGGCACATGTCAGCAACATAGTGGTCAATGGCTTCCAAAGGTGCCTGGTAGGGTTGAGGTCAGGGTTCTGTGCAGGGCACTTGAGTTCTTCCACACCAAACTGGCCAAACTATGTGTTTATGGAGCTGGCTCACAGTTCCAATGCATTCCAAAGGTGTTGAGTAAGGTTTAGGTCAGGGCTCTCTGCTGGACACTCAAGTTCCACCACACCAAACTGGTCAAACCGTGTCTTTATGGAGCTGGCTCACAGTTCCAATGCATCCCAAAGGAGCTTGGTAGGGTTGAGATCAGGGTTCTGTGCAGGACACTTGAGTTCTTCCACACCAAGCTGACCAAACTATGTCTTTATGGAGCTGGCTTACAGTTCCAATGCATTCCAAAGGTGTTGAGTAAGGTTGAGGTCAGGGTTCTGTGCAGGACACTTGAGTTCTCCACACCAAACTCGTCAAACCATGTCTTAATGGAGCTGGCTCACAGTTCCAATCCATCCCAAAACTGGTGTCAGTAGGTTGAGGTCAGGGATCTCAAACCATGCCTTTATGGAGCTGCAGGACACTTGAGTTCTTCCACATCAAACTGGTCAAACCATGCCTTTATGGAGCTGGTTTCACAGTTCCAATGCATTCCCAAAAGGAGATTGGTAGGGTTGAGGTCAGGGCTCTCTCCATGACACTTGAGTTCTTCCACACCAAACTGGTCAAACCATGTCTTAATGGAGCTGGCTCACAGTGCCAATGTATCCCAAAGGTGTCTCAGTAGGATTGAGATCAGGGCTCTCTCCATGACACTTCAGTTCCACCACATCAAACTGGTCAAAGCCATGTCTTTATGGAGCTGGCTCACAGTTCCAATCCATCCCAAAGGTGCTTGGTAGGGTTGAGGTCAGGGCTCTCTGCAGGGCATTTGAGTTCTTCCACATCCCCAAGCTGGCCAAACTATGACTTTATGGAGCTGGCTCACAGTTCCAATGCACCCTAAAGGTGCTCAATAGGGTTAAGGTCAGGGATCCCTACAGGACACTCGAGTTCCATCACACCAATCTGGTCAAACTATGACTTTATGGAGTTGGCTCACAGTTCCAATGCGTCCCAAAGGTGCTCAGTAGGGTTGAGGTCAGGGTTCTGTGCAGGACACTCGAGTTCCTCCACACCAGACTGGTTGAACCATGTCTTTATGGAGCTGGCTGGCTCACAGTTCCAATGCGTCCCAAAGGTGCTCGGTAGGGTTGAGGTCAGGGTTCTGTGCAGGACACTCGAGTTCCTCCACACCAGACTGGTCAAACTATGACTTTATGGAGCTGGCTCACAGTTCCAATGCGTCCCAAAGGTGCTCGGTAGGGTTGAGGTCAGGGTTTCTGTGCAGGACACTCGAGTTCCTCCACACCAGACTGGTTGAACCATGTCTTTATGGAGCTGGCTCACAGTTCCAATGCGTCCCAAAGGTGCTCGGTAGGGTTGAGGTCAGGGTTCTGTGCAGGACACTCGAGTTCCTCCACACCAGACTGGTTGAACCAAACCATGTCACACACTAGAGTAGGGTTCTGGCAGGACAAGTTCCCGGGACGTTAGGCTGTAATTGGGTTCCAGCTTGGGTTCCTAGCAGGTGTTGTGCTTTTATCAGTTGATGGGATGATGGGAAAGCTTTTCACTCACTGAAGGAACGAGGTGGAAGAACATTAATAGGCATCATTCAAAAAACCCCCAAAAAACGATCAATAAATGAGATCTTCCACTTCCATTATTAAACCAATAAAGCAAATTCCATTCTTGTCACAGCAGCAGGAATGGTTGTGCGTCGGCGCTGGGCTCCTCCTGACAGGATGATGTCAGACGCTCGCCGCTGTAATTGCAGCGTTTCAATATACTTAAGTGGTGCATTACATCGTAAAAGCTCTTCTGCCGATAATTAGCTCCCGGCAATCATGGTGTCGGCCATTTCTGGGCTCCGCACTCCGACGTTTCCACATATTTCATCCTAAATGGTGTTTCTGATGAACGTGTAGATGGAGCCGACAGGTAAGTGAAATCCTAATGCCGGCCAGCTTGCCCTTGAGCTCTGCAGAAGGATGTTGTCAGACGGGATGATCATCGGAGATGGAGACGCAGGACATGAGATAACAAACCACAGATGGGTGAAGAGGAAGGTTGTCTGTCAGGGGGGCTCATTGTACAGACCGGGGTCTCCAAGCTACGACCCGCTACAAGATTTTGTCTGAACCGCAGGAACTGTCAGTTGGCACTAGATAGGCTGGTCTGTGTAATATGGAGACCGGCACATCCACTGCCAGACAGACATGACCCTTCCCCAGTGCCTCTGATGGTGTCAGTGGGAGGAATAGTACCCCATCATTGGTGTCAGTGGGAGGAAGTTAGTGCCCCATCATTGGTGTCAGTGGGAGGAATAGTGCCCCATCATTGGTGTCAGTGGGAGGAATAGTGCCCCATCATTGGTGTCAGTGGGAGGAATAGTGCCCCATCATTGGTGTCAGTGGGAGGAATAGTGCCCCATCATTGGTGTCAGTGGGAGGAATGGCGCCCCATCATTGGTGTCAGTGGGAGGAATAGTACCCCATCATTGGTGTCAGTGGGAGGAATAGTGCCCCATCATTGGTGTCAGTGGGGAATAGTGCCCCATCATTGGTGTCAGTGGGAGGAATAGTGCCCCATCATTGGTGTCAGTGGGAGGAATAGTGCCCCATCATTGGTGTCAGTGGGAGGAATAGTGCCCCATCATTGGTGTCAGTGGGAGGAATGGCGCCCCATCATTGGTGTCAGTGGGAGGAATAGTACCCCATCATTGGTGTCAGTGGGAGGAATAGTGCCCCATCATTGGTGTCAGTGGGAGGAATAGTGCCCCATCATTGGTGTCAGTGGGAGGAATAGTGCCCCATCATAGGTGTCAGTGGGAGGAATAGTGCCCCATCATTGGTGTCAGTGAGAGGAATAGTGCCCCATCATTGGTGTCAGTGGGAGGAATAGTGCCCCATCATTGGTGTCAGTGGGAGGAATAGTGCCCCGTCATTGGTGTCAGTGAGAGGAATAGTGCCCCGTCATTGGTGTCAGTGGGAGGAATAGTGCCCCATCATTGTGTCAGTGGGAGGAATAGTGCCCCATCATTGGTGTCAGTGAGGATAGTGCCCCATCATTGGGTCAAATAGTGCCCCATCATTGGTGTCAGTGGGAGGAATAGTGCCCCATCATTGGTGTCAGTGGGAGGAATAGTGCCCCATCATTGGTGTCAGTGGGAGGAATAGTGCCCCATCATTGGTGTCAGTGGGAGGAATGGCGCCCCATCATTGGTGTCAGTGGGAGGAAAAGTGCCCCCATCATTGGTGTCAGTGGGAGGAATAGTGCCCCATCATTGGTGTCAGTGGGAGGAATAGTGCCCCATCATTGGTGTCAGTGGGAGGAATATGTGCCCCATCATTGGTGTCAGTGGGAGGAATAGTGCCCCATCATTGGTGTCAGTGGGAGGAATAGTGCCCCATCATTGGTGTCAGTGGGAGGAATAGTGCCCCATCATTGGTGTCAGTGGGAGGAATAGTGCCCCATCATTGGTGTCAGTGGGAGGAATAGTGCCCCCGTCATTGGTGTCAGTGAGAGGAATAGTGCCCGTCATTGGTGTCAGTGGGAGGAATAGTGCCCCATCATTGGTGTCAGTGGGGAGGAATAGTGCCCCATCATTGGTGTCAGTGGGAGGAATAGTGCCCCATCATTGGTGTCAGTGAGAGGAATAGTGCCCCATCATTGGTGTCAGTGGGAGGAATAGTGACCCCATCATTGGTGTCAGTGGGGGAATAGTGCCCCATCATTGGTGTCAGGGAGAGGAATAGTGCCCCATCATTGGTGTCAGTGGAGGAATAGTGCCCCATCATTGGTGTCAGTGGGAGGAATAGTACCCCATCATTGGTGTCAGGGGAGGAATAGTGCCCCCATCATTGGTGTCAGTGGGAGGAATAGTGCCCCATCATTGGTGTCAGTGGGAGGAATAGTGTCCCCCCATCATTGAGTATCCGTGGGGGAGGAATAGTGCCCCATCATTGGTGTCAGTGGGGAGGAATAGTGCCCCATCATTGGTGTCAGTGGGAGGAATAGTGCCCCATCATTGGTGTCAGTGGGAGGAATGGCGCCCCATCATTGGTGTCAGTGGGAGGAATAGTACCCCATCATTGGTGTCAGTGGGAGGAATAGTGCCCCATCATTGGTGTCAGTGGGAGGAATAGTGCCCCATCATTGGTGTCAGTGTGGAGGAATAGTGCCCCATCATTGGTGTCAGTGGTGAGGAATAGTGCCCCATCATTGGTGTCAGTGGGAGGAATAGTGCCCCATCATTGGTGTCAGTGAGAGGAATAGTGCCCCATCATTGGTGTCAGTGGGAGGAATAGTGCCCCCATCATTGGTGTCAGTGGGAGGAATAGTGCCCCGTCATTGGTGTCAGTGAGAGGAATAGTGCCCCCCGTCATTGGTGTCAGTGGGAGGAATATTGTGCCCCATCATTGGTGTCAGTGGGAGGAATAGTGCCCCATCATTGGTGTCAGTGGGAGGAATAGTGCCCCATCATTGGTGTCAGTGAGAGGAATAGTGCCCCATCATTGGTGTCAGTGGGAGGAATAGTGACCCATCATTGGTGTCAGTGGGGGAATAGTGCCCCATCATTGGTGTCAGTGGGAGGAATAGTGCCCCATCATTAGGTGTCATCAGTGGGAGGAATAGTGCCCATCATTGGTCAGTGGGAGGAATAGTACCCCATCATTGGTGTCAGTGGGGAATAGTGCCCCATCATTGGTGTCAGTGGGAGGAATAGTGCCCCATCATTGGTGTCAGTGGGAGGAATAGTGCCCCATCATTGGTGTCAGTGGGAGGAATAGTGCCCCATCATTGGTGTCAGTGGGAGGAATAGTGCCCCATCATTGGTGTCAATGGGGGAATAGTGCCCCATCATTGGTGTCAGTGGGAGGAATATAGTGCCCCATCATTGGTGTCAGTGGGAGGAATAGTGTCCCATCATTGGTGTCAATGGGGGAATAGTGCCCCATCATTGGTGTCAGTGGGAGGAAATAGTGCCCCATCATTGGTGTCAGTGGGAGGAATAGTGCCCCATCATTGGTGTCAGTGGGAGCAATAGTGCCCCATCATTGGTGTCAGTGGGAGGAATAGTGACCCATCATAGGTGTCAGTGGGGGGAATAGTGCCCCATCATGGTCAGTCAGTGAATAGTGCCCCATCATTGGTGTCAGTGGAGGAATAATGCCCCCGTCATTGGTGTCAGTGGGAGGAATAGTGCCCCATCATTGGTGTCAGTGGGAGGAATAGTGCCCCATCATTGGTGTCAGTGGAGGAATAGTGCCCCATCATTGGTGTCAGTGGGAGGAATAGTGTCCCATCATAGGTGTCAGTGGGGGGAATAGTGCCCCATCATTGGTGTCAGTGGAATAGTGCCCCATCATTGGTGTCAGTGGGAGGAATAGTGCCCCGTCATGGTGTCAGTGGGAGGAATAGTGCCCCATCATTGGTGACAGTGGGAGGAATAGTGCCCCATCATTGGTGTCAGTGGGAGGAATAGTGCCCCATCATTGGTGTCAGTGGGAGGAATAGTGCCCCATCATTGGTGTCAGTGGAATAGTGCCCCATCATTGGTGTCAGTGGGAGGAATAGTGCCCCATCATTGGTGTCAGTGGGGGGAATGGTGCCCCGTCATTGGTGTCAGTGGGAGGAATAGTGCCCCATCATTGGTGTCAGTGGGAGGAATAGTGCCCCATCATTGGTGTCAGTGGGGGGAGGAATAGTGCCCCATCATTGGTGTCAGTGGGAGGAATAGTGCCCCCCCATCATTGGTGTCAGTGGGAGGAATAGTGCCCCATCATTGGTGTCAGTGGGGGGAGGAATAGTGCCCCATCATTGGTGTCAGTGGGAGGAATAGTGCCCCACCTATCAAGGCATTTTGATATTTGCATAACTCCTCCACTGCTTGGATCAGGGCTGAGAGGATTACGGAGTCAGGGTGCCGCTTTGTTTTCAGGAAGGTGTGTACAGCACCCGACTGGCCCCTCCCACTAGCCACAATATGCCTTCATTGCATAGAGAGTCACAGAGACCCAGTGAAGGTATCTAATTGAATTGCAAGGCAGCATATTATTGATCAGGGGGGAGGGGAGACAATCTACAAGCAGAATAATCGTCAGCTTAGCTACATGTGATATTATATGTGTGTCTAACGGAGACCCCGAAGGTGACAGAGGAATCATCACGGCGATGGAGACCCCGAAGGTGACAGAGGAATCATCGCGGCGATGGACCCCGAAGGTGACAGAAGAATCATCCCGGCGATGGGGACCCCGAAGGTGACAGAGGAATCATCCCGGCAATGGAGACCCCGAAGGTGACAGAGGAATCATCCCGGCGATGGAGACCCCGAAGGTGACAGAGGAATCATCGCGGCGATGGAGACCCCGAAGGTGACAGAAGAATCATCGCGACGATGGAGACCCCGAAGGTGACAGAGGAATCATCGCGGCGATGGAGACCCCGAAGGTGACAGAGGAATCATCGCGGCGATGGAGACCCCGAAGGTGACAGAGGAATCATCGCGGCGATGGAGACCCCGAAGGTGACAGAGGAATACGCGGCTATGGAGGACCCCGAAGGTGACAGAGGAATCACGCGGCAATGGAGACCCGAAGGTGACAGAGGAATCATCCCGGCGATGGGGACCCCGAAGGTGACAGAGGAATCATCGCGGCAATGGAGACCCCGAAGGTGACAGAGGAATCATCGCGGCAATGGAGACCCGAAGGTGACAGAGGAATCATCGCGGCAATGGAGACCCCAAAGGTGACAGAGGAATCATCGCGGCAATGGAGACCCCGAAGGAAGAGAAAGAAGGACAAGTCATTGTGGGGTCATCAGCCTCCAGGGATCAGGAGTCACTCAGCCATCCACCAGGGGGATCACACTCCAGGTACCAGGTATCATGAATCAGGACACATGGCCCAAGCGGAGTGGCGTCACACCCTGGCTCCTCCCTAACGTGTTTCATGCACGAGCACATTATCAAAGGGAGCGTGCCTACATGAATGGGTGATTTAAATAGCAAACCATGAGCATGTGCAGTAGGGTGCACTGACACCATTTTGGTCCATTCGCGCATGGGCGATGCATACACGAGCGGCCATTTTATTGGTTATTCACAGACTACATTAGGAGTCCGTCCGCACATGCACGATGCATACGCGAGCGGCCATTTTATCGGTTATACACAGACTACATTAGGAGTCCGTCCGCACATGCGCGATGCATACGCGAGCGAGCGGCCATTTTATCGGTTATAAACAGACTACAGTAGGAGTCCGTCCGCACATGCGCGATGCATACGCGAGCGGCCATTTTATCGGTTATACACAGACTACATTAGGAGTCCGTCCGCACATGCGCGATGCATACGTGAGCGGCCATTTTATCAATTTATACACAGACTACATTAGGAGTCCGTCCGCACATGCGCGATGCATACGCGAGCGGCCATTTTTAT